TCATGTAAGTTAACCCAAAATAATCAGATAGTCCTTAAGTACCTTTAGATTTCTTCGAAAATTACCGGATAGGGATTAACTTCAGGATGTCAACAGTATCGGGTGTGACCGCGGTAAGATTTAAATCTTGGTTCCTTGTAGATTGACCTAACTCAATCCTTTTTGGCACAAACTAAGGTTTAATCCTTTGTGAATCTGTACTACAATACCTATTTGCTCATATAAATATACATAGGAATATATGAATTATTTCATTTTATTTTTGAATGGCCTAATGTTCAGTGTGTTTTACAATTTCAAGTGTTTTACGTCGAGTTTTACGTGTCGTGATATACATCAGGTGAGATTTTTCCTACTCTTATTATATTCGTAGATGATTTTTCACTGTTCAAAAATTGTTTGAAGGATTTCGTGAAATAATTTGAAAATTATATCCTAATTATAATAAGAGAATATTCGTACGAGACCATAGGAACACATTCATTGAAAAAAACTCCCATCCACGTGTATTTTGAAAAAGTTATGAATTTTTTTCGAAATTCCGAAAAAGGGGGCCTGTGGGGTTAATTCTTGCCCGACAAAATATTGTGAGATATACATATTATTGGGTACCATCAGAGAAACACATTCATAGAAAAAAACTCCCATCCACGTGTATTTTGAAAAAGTTATGAAATTTTTTCGAATTTCCGAAATAGGGGGCCTATGGGGATAATTCTTGCCCGACAAAATATTGTGAGATATACATATTATTGAGTACCATCAGAGGAACACATTCATAGAAAAAAACTCCCATCCACGTGTATTTTGAAAAAGTTATGAATTTTTTTCGAAATTCCGAAAAAGGGGGCCTGTGGGGTTAATTCTTGCCCGACAAAATATTGTGAGATATACATATTATTGAGTACCATCAGAGGAACACATTCATAGTGAAATACTCCCATCCACGTGTATTTTGAAAAAGTTATGAATTTTTTCGAATTTCCGAAGAAGGGGGCCTATGGGGTTAATTCTTGCCCGACAAAATATTGTGAGATATACATATTATTGAGTACCATCAGAGGAACACATTCATAGAAAAAAACTCCCATCCACGTGTATTTTGAAAAAGTTATGAATTTTTTTCGAAATTCCGAAAAAGGGGGCCTGTGGGGTTAATTCTTGCCCGACAAAATATTGTGAGATATACATATCATTGAGTACCATCAGAGGAACACATTCATAGTAAAATACTCCCATCCGCGTGTATTTTGAAAAAGTTATGAATTTTTTCGAATTTCCGAAGAAGGGGGCCTATGGGGTTAATTCTTGCCCGACAAAATATTGTGAGATATACATATTATTGAGTACCATCAGAGGAACACATTCATAGAAAAAAACTCCCATCCACGTGTATTTTGAAAAAGTTATGAATTTTTTTCGAATTTCCGAAAAAGGGGGCCTATGGGGTTAATTCTTGCCCGACAAAATATTGTGAGATATACATATTATTGAGTACCATCAGAGGAACACATTCATAGAAAAAAACTCCCATCCACGTGTATTTTGAAAAAGTTATGAATTTTTTTCGAATTTCCGAAAAAGGGGGCCTATGGGGTTAATTCTAGCCCGACAAAATATTGTGAGATAAACATATTATTGAGTACCATCAGAGGAACACATTCATAGAAAAAAACTCCTATCCACGTGTATTTTGAAAAAGTTATGAATTTTTTTCGAAATTCCGAAAAAGGGGGCCTGTGGGGTTAATTCTTGCCCGACAAAATATTGTGAGATATAGATATTATTGAGTACCATGAGAGGAACACATTCATAGAAAAAAACTCCCATCCACGTGTATTTTGAAAAAGTTATGAATTTTTTTAGAAATTCCGAAAAAGGGGGCTTATGGGGTTAATTCTTGCCCGACAAAATATTGTGAGATATACATACTATTGAGTACCATGAGAGGAACACATTCATAGAAAAAAACTCCCATCCACGTGTATTTTGAAAAAGTTATGAATTTTTTTAGAAATTCCGAAAAAGGGGGCTTATGGGGTTAATTCTTGCCCGACAAAATATTGTGAGATATACATACTATTGAGTACCATCAGAGGAACACATTCATAGAAAAAAACTCCCATCCACGTGTATTTTGAAAAAGTTATGAATTTTTTTCGAAATTCAGAAAAAGGGGGCCTGTGGGGTTAATTCTTGCCCGACAAAATATTGTGAGATATACATATTATTGAGTACCATCAGAGGAACACATTCATAGAAAAAAACTCCCATCCACGTGTATTTTGAAAAAGTTATGAATTTTTTTCGAATTTCCGAAGAAGGGGGCCTATGGGGTTAATTCTTGCCCGACAAAATATTGTGAGATATACATATTATTGAGTACATTCTGAGGAACACATTCATAGAAAAAAACTCCCATCCACGTGTATTTTGAAAATGGTATGAATTTTTTTCGAATTTCCGAAAAAGGGGGCCTATGGGGTTAATTCTTGCCCGACAAAATATTGTGAGATATACATATTATTGAGTACATTCTGAGGAACACATTCATAGAAAAAAACTCCCATCCACGTGTATTTTGAAAAAGTTATGAATTTTTTTCGAAATTCCGAAAAAGGGGGCCTGTGGGGTTAATTCTTGCCCGACTAAATATTGTGAGATATACAAATTATTGAGTACCATCAGAGGAACACATTCATAGAAAAAAACTCCCATCCACATGTATTTTGAAAAAGTTATGAATTTTTTTCGAATTTCCGAAAAAGGGGGCCAATGGGGTTAATTCTTGCCCGACAAAATATTGTGAGATATAGATATTATTGAGTACCATGAGAGGAACACATTCATAGAAAAAAACTCCCATCCACGTGTATTTTGAAAAAGTTATGAATTTTTTTCGAAATTCCGAAAAAGGGGGCCTGTGGGGTTAATTCTTGCCCGACAAAATATTGTGAGATATACATATTATTGAGTACCATCAGAGGAACACATTCATAGAAAAAAACTCCCATCCACGTGTATTTTGAAAAAGTTATGAATTTTTTTCGAAATTCCGAAAAAGGGGGCCTGTGGGGTTAATTCTTGCCCGACAAAATATTGTGAGATATACATATTATTGAGTACCATCAGAGGAACACATTCATAGAAAAAAACTCCCATCCACATGTATTTTGAAAAAGTTATGAATTTTTTTCGAATTTCCGAAAAAGGGGGCCAATGGGGTTAATTCTTGCCCGACAAAATATTGTGAGATATAGATATTATTGAGTACCATGAGAGGAACACATTCATAGAAAAAAACTCCCATCCACGTGTCTATTGAAAAAGTTATGAATTTTTTTCGAAATTCCGAAAAAGGGGGCCTGTGGGGTTAATTCTTGCCCGACAAAATATTGTGAGATATACATATTATTGAGTACCATCAGAGGAACACATTCATAGAAAAAAACTCCCATCCACGTGTGTTTTGAAAATGTTATGAATTTTTTTCGAATTTCCGAAAAAGGGGGCCTATGGGGTTAATTCTTGCCCGACAAAATATTGTGAGATATACATATTATTGAGTACCATCAGAGGAACACATTCATAGAAAAAAACTCCCATCCACGTGTATTTTGAAAAAGTTATGAATTTTTTTCGAAATTCCGAAAAAGGGGGCCTGTGGGGTTAATTCTTGCCCGACAAAATATTGTGAGATATACATATTATTGAGTACCATCAGAGGAACACATTCATAGAAAAAAACTCCCATCCACGTGTATTTTGAAAAAGTTATGAATTTTTTTCGAATTTCCGAAAAAGGGGGCCTATGGGGTTAATTCTTGCCCGACAAAATATTGTGAGATATACATATTATTGAGTACCATCAGAGGAACACATTCATAGAAAAAAACTCCCATCCACGTGTATTTTGAAAAAGTTATGAATTTTTTTAGAAATTCCGAAAAAGGGGGCCTGTGGGGTTAATTCTTGCCCGACAAAATATTGTGAGATATACAGATTATCATAGACCCTCAGAGAAAATCATTGATGTAAAATAGTTTCATCCATGGACATATTTTGGAGGTTTAAGTAATTTCATGGCCAGCCATGAATATAAATTGATAATGAACGACCATTGGTGGTATGGCGCGCGCCTTGAATATTAGGCGAAGTCGTGGCTGGAACTCGTGGCTGGTTTCACACTGATTAATTGATAGTAATAAATAGCAATTCGTTGGTATATACATACAACTCTGGCCATCGACCTCCATCAAGGTCCTTCAGCCCTATCATTCCATATTTCAAGAAGTAATCATTTTCTATTTCATTTATCGTACATGTAAGGAAGGAAGAGAAGCGTTTATATAAGCGAAAAACATCATCGTCTGTCTGGCAAAACATTTAATCTACTTCAAAGTTGTTTGTGGTTATGTTTGATTGTCACTGTATGTCGAGTGTCCGTACTCTAATATACAAAAGTGTCAAGTACATTAAGGAACTCTACCGTAGACCACGCCATAATGATAGGTCAATCATATATTGGCACCATTTCAATAGGAGACTTTGCTCCAACTTGTCAACTTAAAAACCTACCTCTACCAATTTAGAAGCAAGATTATGGCTTAATTTTGATGAAATCTGATTCTAGGAGTCTACTCAGCTCTCTAATAGAAGTTATTCAGAAGAAAAATTAGTTTTTGTGAACTCCACTTCCTATTAGTTGAAAACTATTTTGATTCACCTGCACACAGATGCACCAACATTGTTGTCAACCAATTAGAGGTGGAGTTCACAAAGATCTAATTTTTCTTCTGAATAACTCCTATTAGAGAGCTGAGTAGACTTCTAGAATGAGATTTCATCAAAATAAATCCATTTGAGTAATCAAACTTCCATAATGTTGCTTCTACATTGGTAGAGGTTTTCAGGTTGGTTAAGTGAATTCTCCCATTTCATCTTTACCTACTTCAATCTGCATATGTTGAGTTGATTTTTACTTTGATACAAAATTACAGGAGCATCGCTGGAATTCATAGAGCAACCAACAGACCGATTTAGATTCCGTTATAAATCTGAAATGGCTGGTACACATGGAAGCTTGACTGGTGTGAATTCCGATAAGTCAAGGAAACAAACGTATCCAACAGTAGAAGTACGGAACTGTGTTGGTAAAGTTATTGTAAGATGCTCAATATATCAGTTGGCCACCAATCCTGCCAATCAGAAGGATTTCATGCCTCATGCACATCGGCTCATTATGAAAAAGGGAAAAGATGAACTTGACGATCCCCATGATATAGAAATTGGTCCTGAGGAAGGATACAGAGCAGTGTAAGTCATAATACAAGGTGTTCCAGTTTTTATCTGCCGAATTTCATTAAGTCATAGTACTTGACAAAATAAGAATCATAAAGTCCTATGAACTTTGGCCAAAAAATGCTTCGTTTTTTCTATAGACGATGAAGTCTGCCTGTCAATGGAGCTACTGTATAGGAAAAATGTTATTTCATTACTTCGAAGTACTAACCCTAACTAGTTCACTGTCTCAACCCGTTTTTTCCTCAGAGCTCTGTAACTTTTTTAAATAACTATTGAAATTCACGATATTTCATAACATGAAAAACGCGGTAAAACGCGTGATGTAATCATCCGAGAACACCAAATAAGATTCGACTTGCAAGAATATTTCCGATTTTCATTTCAATCAAAATATGGAATGAATTTTCTGAATTGAATACTTACTGCAGATAACAGAGAACACGACACACAACTAAAGAATCAGATGATATGAGGATTATCTTTGAATATTCGCATCTTGACTAGATGAAACTACGATTTGACGATGAAGGTGACAGCCGATATTGACGTCAGGAAGTTAGGTTTTCAATGTAGTTTGTCTTCTTCTTTTTTTGTATTTCTGGGAACTTAGGCATTACACTGTTGCCCGTGCCACAAAATAATTTGGGATTTAATAAAATCTCGATCATTATTGGGAATACTAGGATATTTTTATTGGTACTGAAGCATTTTGCAAGTATATAAGTATTTCAATAAGTGATTATTAGGGACCAGGTCGAACTATTGTCTTCTGTGAATGTGAGTACTATTGTCATTGGTCATATTGAATCTCATAAGGTAATTACTAGTAACAAATCTGGCAGCGTCAAAATATGTGGTCCTACATTTTATGTGAAAGCCAGAATTCGGTTCATGACGTCATCGAACCTGGTGTTTTTCGAAGTCGGCGAATTTAATTATTGAAAAAATATATTTGCGATGATTTTAAATAAGGAATGATTGCATCAAATACTGTTTATACATGGAGTGACCAATATAAAATAGGTATGTGGCGTAACTTCGACTTGTGTGTACAAACCCATTGTCTCAGGAATTCAAAAATGTTATAATATACAGGGTGTTCCATTTAAAAATTCGAATCTTGAGCCGGTGAAACCGGAAGTGACTGGGAAATGGAAAATATGCGAAAACTTTCCTATTCACATTATATACCCATATTGAATTTCTTTTGATTCACCGAATATTCTAGAAGTTATGGCTTGTCTGATTGATTTGTTGACACCCAGTATAAACTGAAATAAGTTGATTACCCTTTTTTTTTAGATTTCACGGAATGGGGATCATACATACTGCAAAGAAAAATATAGTATCAGAATTAACAAGAAAGAAGTCACAGTTGAAAAAAGAATTTATAGCACGTACTGAAGGAAAAATTAGAGAACTCACAACAAAGGAACTTGTTGAGGTAAGTCGGTCCATAACACAGTGAATTTCAATGTTGGACTCTGAGAAGATAATCTTGAACAAAAACGGTACCTTATTATTACGTTTTTTTTTACTATATCCATTCATTGTAGGCACCCAAATATCTGTACAAAAACATAATTTATCACGATAATTATTCTCAGTTTTATATGGTTCAACCAGAACTGCAATGGGGAAGTTTCATCCAGATGAATTTTCATGAAATAAGTTCGTAGGAACTCCTCAGTTTCATGTCCACACTGTACAGAAAGGCGATCGGTTAAGTCCAAGTCTTTTTTATTTTCAAAATTTATAATTTTCGGGGCGACAAACTGTGACGTACATTCTGAATCTAGTCTGAATATTGCTGATGATGAAGAATATAGCTAGCGAATAGCCAAGGAATAGAAAACGAATAAAAAAATAGAAGAAGAAGTGAACTTGGCGGCTTTGTTGATTATATCATGAATAATAACGAACCAACGAAACAACTATAAACTGTAGACATAGGCTAACAAAAATATGGTCGGGATTGGCGCAGTGGAAGAGCGTCCGTCTCACGACCGCAAGGTCGTGGGTTCGATTCCCAGCACGGGCAAGGAACTTTTTTCAATATTTTATTCACGAATTAAATATTGTAAAGTTTCGGAGCATCGGCTGGGGATAGTCCTGCACGATTCGCTGTTGCGTTCCAATTAACAGTGCTGCTCCTAAAGTGGCGCATGGAGTTAGTAACAAAGCCTACACAGAACACGCAGAAAGATATGATGATGTGGTTGTGAGCATCAGAGAAGAAGTAGGACGGTGTATGTAGGTGGGTGTGGAAAACTACCAGCTGAGCGTGAGAGCGGGCCAGCTGCTTAAGTAGACCTCGGTCTCGGGGGTTAACGAGGATAGTTAGCAGGCCTGCCACTGCGCATATGGTAGTGAGTACATTACTAGCCTACAAAACACAGCTGAAAAACTCTGAAAAGAGAGCTGATGGGCGGTGCCTGAAAAGGATGTTAGCCAGCTCTCTTGAGCGAACCACATCAGTCATTGAAAACACTTGGGGTTTGCAAAAAGGTCCCATTGGGGACTAGTTGCTGACGTGGAAACGTCCCCCACCAGTACCAGTACCAGTAGGTTAACAAATAACTGGAAATGAGGAATCGACACAAGTAACACTTGTAAACAAAAACGTACATAAACATGATGTCGACAAACAAAACGTACATAAACATGATGTCGACAACGTCATACTGACACAGGGGATCGTATTTTAACTCTGTGTGAATGTGGCTTTTCAGAAAGTTAGTCATAGGAATGGTGAAGGACCAAGTTCCTCTTTCATTTATTTCTGAAGTGAAATTTGACCTCACGAAAAAAAGATAAATACGTATATATTACAATTCTACAATCTTCATAGTGAGATGAAACCTCAATATTGAAAACTTCCCCATTGATGCAAGACACCGTTTTGGCTTGTCACACTTGTCAGTTGGATTTAAAACAACTTTGAGTCTTTCAGGTGTTGGGATAATCTGCAAAATTGTTACATTTTGTGGTAATTTTGCACTGATCATGCGATGGGTTTTTTTTCGAAAATTTTTTTGGTATTCACGTATTTTTATCTGAAAAACACGAATTTGATAATGAAAATGTGAACAAACCATTATTTATTAAGATGTTTCACTATAAAGTTACAAATTTCACCTTCATGATTTTCTTGTGATTTATCCATATTTAGTGAGGAGAAGGAAGAATACCATTTAAAATAATGGCGTGTGTAATGTCATTCAAAAGCAATCTGTTGACATTTGATATCTCGTATTTGGATTGACTATTGATTAAATGGCCGTCATCTGGTATGCTTGTCACTAAATATGAAAAACTGGCCATAAAAATCATATTTCCTGTTGTTCTATATATAAATGTGTCATTGAAGTACATCATGAGTCATGAGTATACAGTGTGTCCCACTTACCATGCTCACCATGGGTATCTTCTTAACGGTGAGAGATACGAGGTCGGTTAAATGACACCAAATGTGGAGTTTGTCAAGGCCAACTATTATGTGAAAAAATATTCTGATAAAATCTATTCGTTTTTGTTTTATACGCAAAAAACAGATTTTGATCATTTTCATGTCTCCTCCGTAACTTCTTTATTTATGAAAATATTCAAATAGGAATTTCACATTCTCATGGCAGTTTTTCAAAGTGATTTCTAAAAAAATATGAAATTTATACCAACTCTTCTAGAATTTGAGGTATCAGCACCAACTTTAGTTTTTCGAATGTAGGTCATAGCTCACTATGACTTAGTTACAAATAACTTTTTTTTCTCTTACAGATGATATGTCGCAGTAATAGTTTTGTGTTGATAACAACGAAGTTATCGTCATTTATAAAAAAACAAAAAATAATTTGGAAGCCGCCATCTTGAATTTATGAATTTTAACAAAAAAATCATGATCTCCGACCTCAAAAACCCCCACTCACCAATTATGAATGGAATCGGACCAAATCTTGTCCGCCATCTTGGGGCAGCCATTTTTTTTAATCTCAACAAAAATTCCATAACTCCGATCAACTTGAAATTTGGCAGGTGTTCATAATTTCGGTGACAATACATTATGGAATTTTTGTCGAAATTGAAAAAACTACCATGGTAAGCATGGTAAGTGGGACACACTGTATGAAGTGTTCAGTGACAAAATAAGAAGAGCAAGTAGCTGTAAATGCATCTAACACAAGGGGAAAAAGAAGGCGAAATTTCGAACTTTTTCTTGAAATATCTCGATAAATAATGGTTTGTTTACATTTTCATTATCAAATTCGTGTTTTTCAGACGAAAATATGTAAGTGCCAAAACAAATTTTCGAAAAAAAAACCATCGCATGATAAGTGAAAAATTACCCATTTTGTCTCTGTAGGTCAGCCGTTGGGGATTTGCGTTTGACGAGTTCCCGAGCCATGGTTTATTCAAAAAACCCATCTATTCACTTCTTTCTTGACAATTGATGACTAAAAGCTAGCTCGTAAATCGATTATAAGCAGGCCTAGTGCAGCTGATGAGGCTTGGTAAGCAGAAACAGTTGATCTGACATCAGCTCTGCAGTTCTGGTTGACAATCAATTCACAGAAATTCCTCAGATTCTCTTGAGTGTTCAGTTCATGGTAAAAACTGAATATCAATCAAACTTGGATTAACTCCTAGAATATTTACAACAGATGATTTTCAATGGATGATAAAAGCCAAGATTTGACAGTTCGTCTGATAGATATGTGATTTCTCCTGTATTCACAACTCCTACATATTTCATTGTTTATCTTGAATTGCTGTAATTATCTGAATACCTCAAGATTAATGAAGAAATTACCCAATTGTTGTGTTATGAAGGTTAGATACCTATGTACTCATGAAATAATTACTAAAATATTGTAGTATTATTTCATCATGCATAACGGAATAGTTTTATTAGAAATAATTTCTACAATCTTCTTCACAATATCTAGGTAATTTGAACCTGAATAAAAACTCTTTTTGTGTCCTCATGATGAGGTGATCTAATGTCTGCTAAATAATTCGACTTATTTTGATGTTTTATAACAACTCAAACTTAAACCTGGAATTGTAAAAAACTTATAAATGATAAGATCTCCACAAAATCTGAAACCCCGTTTTGCTAGCACAGTTAGTAGTTTCTTCAAGTGAAATACTCGCACAATAAATTCACTTGAAGAAGAATTAGCGAAACACGTATTTCTAAGAATTTTTAAGAAATCACACATCAACCAGGGTGTGAGTTGGAACTATGAACTGAATAACAAAAAGGTTACCGAAAATATGATCGAATTCATTTGATAGAACACCGTTTGGTCAAACATTTGATTGAAAATAAATTTTTCGAAAAATCAATTGATCGAAATATCAATTTATCAATATCAATTTGTCGAAATACATTTTGATCAAACTTGGTTTATTCAGAAACAAGAATTATTTGCGAAACAAATGATACATCGAACTACTTATAATATGAAAGAAACATACCTATTTGATAAAATTCAATAGTTCTTTGTGTCTATAATGTCAATTTGATCATTGAAATTACTGATTGAAAATTCTTGAGTTAGTAAGGAAAGTTATCCAATATAAAAATTCCAAGTGTCAAAATAATAAATGATAAAAATGAAAAACCAACAATAATAATTATACTTGAGGTAGTTGAGGTTATACTTCTCACAATAAAATTCTTCATATCAATGAATTTCTGGAATCTATACAAAGTGTTTGATATTTATTCTAATGCGATAATGAATCCATAAGTGAGTAGGTACAATATTCAAACTATATTGTATGCAAAGGATTATTCCATGAAAATAGAGTTCAATCAATTGATATTTCCATCAATTGTTTTTATATCATTTGATTTTTCGATCATTTTTGATGATCATTTGATTTTCTATCAAATGATGAACTAAATGATGTTAGATCTAATGATGTCGATGCAATTTCCAGCAACCGGATCAATCCATAAATTAATGAAATGAAAAAAAAAATTAATAACTTTAACAAATACAGTTCGTTTGATTGGAAATAAACCCCCGCCGCCCCACTTCTTTTTGTCTTGACTTATGGGACACCCTATATATATATATATATATATATATAAATTCATGAGTATATCATGATTTACCATGAGATTACTAACCAGCCTGTCATCTTCTCATAAAATGATATATCAGTTTGTAGTTTTGGGAAATTTTATAGTTGTATCACAAACAGATTTTGAATACCTTCTCAACGTCTAACAGTCGTTTTCGGTTCCACCGACCGATCTCGACTACAATATTTCATATAGAACACAGAATAGAATTCGATATTCTGATAGGGATCATCAGGAATTCAATAATACCATGCTTGGTAGCAGGGTTGGAATAAGTCATGAATCTAATAAAAATAGTAAAAAAGTCCGACTCTCTGAATAGTCTGAATTAATTCGGACTTATTTGAATT